CCCCCCCCGGTCCCTCTGCCTACCGTCAATTTAGGCTCCTTCCCATCTGCTGATTCCCTGTCTCCCTCTCTGCAAAACACAAGCACGTGCACAGAACTGATGCCAGAATGCAGCACCTGCCATTTCTCATTGTTTTGAAGACTGTGCCTCCAGCTTTGTCCAGTTGCTGGAGATTTGGGAGAGATTGGTGCGTGGCTTTTTCAAAGCGTTGACCACCTGTCCAAAAGCAAATGCATTGAAATTAAAACCCTCATCTTGTGATAAGAGGGAGGAAAAAACAGAGAATTTAAAGACCCACATCCTGTGACAAGAGAGAGGGGGGGGAGGGGGAGGGGGAGGGGGGGGGCAGGGGGGGACGGCAAAATGATACCTGAAAATGCAATTTAAATACCACTCTTCGTCCTTTTCCCCAGCACACCCTTCCCACCCACTGCTGACCATCGTATGTTCCTCCTCCCGCCTTTCAGCATGCAGCTACCATAAACATTCAACATGCTTGGTCCCAAATGTAGTGCAATACAAAGGGAACGATACTCTATTGTCAATTTGGTTATTAGTGCAAATGGAACTCCAAACAACCACGCCCTGACTATTTGGCACATCTACAGGGTGCTCATCGACTTCGTTGCATGGGCCTTTGTCCAGGTTGGCCTCCTATGTGGGTACCAGTCATGTCAATTTACTCTGATTTTGACTCGAGTGCAAGGAACATGAGTATGGACGAAGCACAGAAATCCAGAATGCAAAAAGATCACACTGAAGTCCAAGTAGTCAAAGCCAAAGCAGATAGCACATGGAACCGAGTAACCATCCAATTGAGAATGATACAGAAGAATCGTGAGTCAATGTCCATGCACAACAGGGCAACACCAACAGCATAACCCAAATGTAGCTCTCTCTTGTGAATGGCGCCAGGCGCCCTATCTACTCTACAGCCTATCCTACAACTACAGCAATGAAAAGCAACCAGACAACTTGACTACCAGCGAGTGATGATGTCAACACCAATGCCGACCTCCACCTTCACCAGGTACGTGTCCTCTTCCCCACACTCTCCCTTGTTACCCACACAGCACCCTTCACCTCCGAAGACCACCTTCGCCCTTCACCTCTCTGCACCCTCATGCGGCCCGGCTATGGCCACCAGTGCCTTGCATGCAGGCAGCGCCCTACCACCTAGCGCTGGCCTGCTTCACCTTAGTGCAGCACTGCTCTGCACAGCGCAGCACACATGCATCCGCGCAGCGTGCCCGCAATGCCAGCATTGGCCAAGATCCCCGCTCCCTCGCCCTGCTTGCCTATATGCCAATGCAGCGTGGGTGCGGCCTCCCTTCAGCCTGTGACTGGGACCCAGAGGCAGAAGCCAACTCGATACAGTTGGGCCCCGGGTCAGTGCAGTTGCACCTCTTTCATCAAGGCCTGTGGCCAGATTCAGATAGTGGGCCGATTTTCCTTTGGCATTTTCGGCCTCTACCCAGCATGCATTGTCGGCCTCACGTACGAGTGCCCAGGGCCTAACTAACTCAGAGGCCCTGGGCTTTCAGCATTTGCTGAAATCCGAGACTTGATGCACTCCAACCAACTGGCGTGCTGCAACTGTATGAACCCCACTTCGTGAAATGTTGGCACAGAGGGCTCTTGTTGATTTGCTGGCCCGCCTTCACTTAGGGCGGGCACGAGGCTTGCTGGGGCCTTAGCCCAGAACATGTACATCATGGCAAGGCCCCTACTTGAGGGCTCAATCCTCACACAAGGTGACAGGATTCGAACCTATGACCCTCTGTACCCAAAACAGATGCGCTACCAGACTGCGCTACACCTTGTTATGTATGTTAAATTGGCAATTCAACTAGCCGACTAACATACAACCCACATATACCCACACATATCCATGTGGGTATAGGCCCATGTACAGCCTGGTTGGCCTCCTAGGTGGTTATAAACCCAGGTACCCCCACATATACCCACGTGGGTATAAACCCATGCATTCCTACGCATACCCACCTGGGTATAAACCCACATGTACCAACATATACCCACATATACCTCCACATTCCCACGTGGGTATACACATATACTCTCACGAGTATAAACCCATGCATATACCTATGTATACCCTCGTGGGTGTAAACCCACATTAACCAACATATACCCACATATACCCACACATGCCCATATAGGTATAAACCCACGTATGCCCTGGTTGGCCTCCTAGGTGGGTATGGCATACTATAAACCCAGGTGGGTATAAACCCATGCATACCTACGTATACGCACGTGGGTACGAGCCCACATGTACCAACATATACCCAAATATACCCCCACATCGTCACGTGGGTATAAACCCACGTATGCCATGTTTCTCACTGTAGGCCCTCATGACTATGCCATGTTTCTCAACAGCAGGCCCAGGACCAACTGGGGCGAGGAGGCTGACGCCCTGAGGGGAAATCTACACAGTACAGGCACATGCTATTGATATCCGCTTCAAGGAGACAGGACCAATGCATGGCTTTATACCCACATGGGTATGTGTGGGTATACCTGGGTTGCATGGCACATAGCACGTCGTTGGCAAGCCAAAGGGACAGGACCGATGCTGAAAATCATTAAGATATGGCATCTGAAGCCCTTGTCACGAGATTGGGAAGTTAACAGAGAGCCACCCTGACCACTCAGCCCCCTTCCCGCACAGAGAACAAAAGCTACCACGGAGGGGTCTGAGCAGAGGAATAAAATCATACATACCTCCATTGATGAGAGTGGCCGCACGGGCTCCGAGCCAGGGAAGGCATTCTTGATTGGCGGAACAATAATAGGCAGAGCAACTCCTATTCACACATGAGCCAATTCAGGCAGTAGGGAGAAATACACAACACACAACACAATACAGCTATAAGGGACTGAAAAAGAAGCAAGCTAGCTGCAAGTTCCAAGCTCTTTCTGGGAAGACACAGCTGTCCAAACCTGAGACAGCATTGTACAATCCTTGCTGGCTGCATAAAAATATCACCACAGACACACACACACACACATACACACACACACACACAGAGAGAGAGAGAGAGAGAGAGAGAGAGAGAGAGAGAGAGAGAGAGAGAGAGAGAGAGAGAGAGAGAGAGAGAGAGAGAGGCTGAACCGCATCTAAATTAGAGTCATTACTGGCTGCATCAAAATGTCACCAGAGAGAGCGAGAGAGAGAGGCTGAACAGCATCTAATATACCATCACAAAAGGGGAGGGGGATGACAGAGGGAAAGCATAAGCAAGAAGAAACGAAGATCAACAGACTGCATGAGAACATAACCAGCCACAATACGAACAGCACTAGGCAACTTCTCATTCAGTATAACATTCCCTTGCCTGTACCTCATCTGTCTTACATGTCAGCTTCCCTGGTATATAGTTCAGAAGAGATCCAAGGATTGCATGTGTGTACCTGCCTAGTTCATGTAACTGCTGTTAATAAACATATCGAGAGTTTGAATCCTGTTTAGCTACAAACATTAGGAGAGATGCGAGGAATTCTGATGCCAGGCTGGAAGCAAGGAGCGGAGAGGTTGCAGGTGCTAATCGCTTTTCTTTTATTATGTAAGTATTGGATTTTTTTTATTTATATACTAATTCTTTGATTGATATTCTTCAATATCTTCATTGAGAGAGCTTCAATCCTATCATTTTTACTTAATAAACTTATAGCACCTGCACCTGCAACCTCTGGGCAGACTCTGGGCATAGCATATAGTTCAGACGAGATCCAAGCACACGCAAGTGTAACCTTCCCTGCTAATCACTTTCAGGCTGAAAACGAAACAGGGCGTGTAGGGCCCTTACTTTCCTTCTTTGGTCAGGCCTTGCAGGCAAGTGTTAACTTCCCAGTCACCGTAACTGTTAACAAACAGGATCGCCTTCAAATTTCAAAAATGGTGTTTTGATACAAACAATAGGAGATGGCTACCTGATAGATGCCTTCCTGCAGCACGCGAGGTTCACCAGCTGAGATAGTTGGCTTGCCCCCCCTGTTCGGTCTTGGTAGGGGCTTTGCCTGCGTCCCTTCCATCCCTCGCTACGGGTTAGGATTCAGCGTCCGTACTCGGTTGCTTTCGATATGGTCGGCCCCTGTTCGTAGATGCAAGGATAGGTAGTGCGAGCCTGTGAGGTATATTAGAGAGAAGAATATAGCTGTGATGAGCTGCCAAAACACAGACTGAGAACACTGCTGATTTCTGAGTTTTCCCACTGGAATGTATGCCTTGCTGAGATTCCCGCTTTCTGCTGAGATTTCTAACTTAAAGTCTGTGTGTGTGCGTGCTTGCTGATTCCCATGTGCCTGTCTGAGTGCATGATTGCGTGGGTGTGCGTGTAGCCCGCCTGGGAACTTGTTTGTTTGGGAGGCCCGCAGGGCCGGTACTTACCTACCTGTGGCCGGTTGCAGCGGGGAAAAACACTCAACTGGCCGAAAGGGGTAGCTTAGCTTACACTGAAAGAGCGTAGTGTCGGTACCTGTAGCACTTGCGCAGCGGTAGGCCGACCAGAAGAAGACAGAAAGTTAGTACTTCTAGAGGCCTGGTAGTGGTAGGCCTAGGTCTAGGCCAGTACCAGTCCAAGTAGCCTGAGTCTAGGGCCTGTGCGAACGATATCAGAGCCTGCAATGATGTTTTCCCCCGAAAGCGAGGAGATACCGGTTGCTTGGAGGCCGCGCAGCCTGGAAGTCACCCACCCAAGAGTCTGGTAGGCCGCTATATCTCCAGGCAGAGCGAGTTGCTCTGCCTCATTTGCGGTATGCAAGTTTGGGCGTCATGCGGCTTGAGCGAGCGCTGGTTCTCAGAGCGCTGCTAGGGAGGAAGAAGGAGAGCTGGGCGCTCTACCTGGCTATGGCAAGCAGCCTATCTTGAGGAAGAGGAAGAAGGGGCGAAGGAGGAGAGTGGTGGGGTGCTTACCTGGCTATGGTGGGCGCCATCTTCATCACCTTGTTAGGCGCTGCATCTGGAAGGCCCCAGCTGGGGTACTGCTGCACCAAGAAGGCTTCAAGGCAGAGTCAGGCATGGCGGCCTGAAGAGCAGCGGACATAGATTCTTCGCGTTGTCTTTTGCATGTCAGGGCTAGGCCCTTAGTAGTCCGATATAGCCTAGGCCTGTTCGAAGAGAGAGAAGACGAAGGCTATGGCTATGGTGGACCTCTTGTTGTGCTAGCAGTAGAAGAGGGATTCGGACATTGATCCTGGTTCAGTCATTCATCGTTATTATTCATATCTATTGCTTGAATGCGACAGGAGGAGGTAAGCAGGAGGAGTTGATTGGCGAGAGAAGGGGACATTGTCATTAGTTTTTTGCTGGTGTACATCTTCATCTTCTTCTTTCTTTCTTCTTCTTCTTCTTCCCCTCTCAAGTTCATTCACTTCTGTATTTACTTGTGAATTTACACTTTGGAATTGGCGAGGATCATAACATAGCTCAGTTTTCAAACAAACAAAAAAACAGAGGATGTGTTATGCCTGCAATAAATCGCAGTTTCCCAGTGGGGCTAAGTGTTTGGCTTTGTAGTTTGTTTTCTTGTTTTGAGCCTTGCGGGACTTGATCCCGTGACCTGTAACTCGAGTGTTTTGTTTGTGAGCACTGTGCCCTATGGGACTTTATCCCTGAGTCTGTCACTAGTAGTCTCTGTTTGGTGGCCTTAGGCCATTCGGTCTTTTCCTTTTGCCTTGTCATAGGTCTAGGTCCCTTTTTCCTCCTATTCCCATCTAGATGCAGACGAGTATTGGGTTGTTGCCTTCGGAGTCTGTTGTAGGTCTAGGCCGAGGGTAGAAGTAGCGGGCAGGAAATTTGGTTTGGGCCTTTCACGTTTTCGTTGGGTGGGGAAACTCTGCCCGTCCGTTGTTAGAGCGCTGCTGCTCTATTTTGGGCGAGGTCATCTTGTTCCTCGAAGCCCAGCCATAGCTGGGGGTTGGGAAACGAAGTTGAAGGCCGCACTGCTGCTATTTCGCAGCTCTGCATGAGAGCTTTCACAGGACTATGTTGTTGGGTTTGGGCGCTGCCATTTCCACTTGGCAGCCATATCTGCTGTTCCTCCTCACGAGGAACTTCATCTTCTTCAAAGTGCTGCATCGGATGTCTCCTTCTTCATCAGGACTTCCAGCACTGCACTTCCGTGCGGGCGCTGAGCTGGCGCTGCTATCATTGGGGTTGCTGGTTCAGCTTGGCACGTTGTGACAGCTGTGGGGTTACTGCTGCTACGGCAGCCATAGCCAGGGGTATGAGGTGGCGAGGAGGAAGAAGAAGACTCCTGCATGCATGCTTCGTTGAACACTTGTTTTTGGTTGTTCGGGGTTGTTGTAAACACGGTTGTGAATCTTGGAACATGAAATCTGCATTGATGGAGGAGGACGAGGGATTGCAGAATTGAAATTCATTTTTTCAATTCTCTGTGTATTTTTAGCTTCCGCTGTGCATATCTTCTCTCCGATTTTGTGTGGATTTGCCTCCTTCGAGTCTACTCTGCGATTGCATGCGTGTATGGGAGCGCTAGAATTCGTTGCGGATTGAAGTTCAATCGGGTACGGAACACAAGAAGGGGAGACGTTCCAGGTGTCAACCACCGCAGCAGAGAAGAAGCACACACACTGAGTGCGCCATGTGTTCATGCTTGACAAGGCCTGTGAATGTATATGGTGGCCAACTGCTCCAGAGCCCCAACGGCCAAGGAAGAGAAAGGCTCGGGAAGAGGGGGATGAGTGCGAAGAAGGATGTGAGGTCGAGATAGGAGCAGAGTCAGCAGACGCATGAGAGGATGATCATCTTCTCTCAGAATCACCATCACACGAAGGTTAGACACTTTGGCAGGCTCACAAAGATCCCCAGGCTAGATTAACATTAATTTAGCCACCTCTGGAATGCCTGCACCCTTTATTTTTCGCTTTGCTTTTCCAAACAGCTTTCATAAGACAAAGTATACCCTCGATTGAAAGTAGCTCAGTTGGTACACCCACAAACTGTTGAAATGCAGACCTGAGTTTGAATCCAGACGGAACCTGAGTTCATTAACATACTGCAACCTTAACCAGGGCTGCTTCGACAACCGGCCGGTTAGACCGGACCTGATCCTGTCTCTTATACACATCTAGATGTGTATAAGAGACAGGGCATGGTCCCAGCCTTGTACTGTGGACCACGCT